AGAGGCGAGAGAGGGGGGGAGAAACACTCACAAACACATACACATACACACACAAACACACACACAATCACACACACACAATCACACACTCAATCACACACAAACACACACACACACACACACACACAATTACTCAAAAGTAAACAAATAAGAGCATGCATTGTTCATAACGTTATATAACCAAAAACTAACCACCCCACCCCCCAACCAGTACCAAAACCCAAACCCTAACCCATACCTCCCAAAGTTCCAAGCCAAACCTTTACATAACTCCCGATTGTATTCGTCGATTGGCACCTCTCCCATAGCATGCCCACAGACTCATAAGGCCACACAACACACAGAACTCACCCGTCAAGGCACGATCTCCCTGAATGTCCATGCGTAGCCTCATGCTGATGACACTTGTTTAATTATGTACAATGTGAATAGAGCTGAACAAGCCGTGGTGACTTCGACGAAATCGCCACAGCAGATGGAAACGTATGTGTTTACACTCCTTGATGACGTAATAACAACTCCAGTGTCAGAAACGCGAAGCAAAGGCAACTAGCAGATCATAAGAGCTGATGATTTTTTTCTTGACCCCTTCACACAAAAGAGCTCAGAATATGAAAGACGCTAACTTACTTACAGAAATAACGATTAATTTGTACAATGATAATAATAATAATAATACATCTCTCATGAACGAGAATAGTGGAAGCGGTAGTCGGCAATATCCTCTAAAGAATCTCTGGTAAGCCGACGTCCATGAAAAACAGCAGCCCACCACAACAACAACAGTCGCCGGAACTGGCAAATACTGCTTCCGGTTCTGTAATAATTCCTACTGCATGAACGATGGTCCAGACTCCGTGTAAAAGCACAAGTATTTTTCCAAAAACTTCTTTCCTGTCCACTTGCCTGGGAAGACGCAGAAAGAGGTCGTCCTCCTGTATCGAAAAAATAAAGTACGAGACGATTGGAAATGGTGCAGAAAGGTTAGAATCTAATCCAGGTCAGGTCTTCATTTCCTCGTTTCGTCTTTCATATTCAGGCAAACGTATGGACAAATGCAGGAAGGGTATTTATGTCTATGTATAATACATATATATAGATTGATATATTATTATAGAAGATCACCACACGAGAAATGAGCAGGAGGCTGAAGGGTACCACTGGTAGGTCCTACTTCCTTACTTCCCCTCCGTTGTTGCTGTCTGTCTGTCTGTCTGTCTTACTTTTTTCCCAGGACTCACTGACCAAACTGAGTCGATGTGCTTCTCTTCACTCAACAACAGCAGCAACAACAACAACAACAACAACACAACACAACAACAGCAAGAAAGTTTTGTGGGTATAAAGGGGGAAGAAGGGGAGGGTGTATCAACGTGTCCTAATTTATAATTCACAGACAATACAGCTGAGTACAGTTTAAAGAAAGTTAACAAAACTAGAACAGCAGTCACATCAATATATGGGGAAAATGTGTATACATTTGATGAAGCCAGATAAAATGTCGTTGACTCGAGCTCACGAGATTGAAGAGATTTCGAGACAAAGGAAAGGATTACTCTCTCTCTCTCTCTCTCTCTCTCTCTCTCTCT